TATTGTATGTACTGTGTATATAATATGTGTACTGTATTGTATTGTATTGTATGTCCTGTGTGTGTATTTGTGTATAATGTTGCTGTAAATGTGTACTGTGTGTATTGTATGTCCTTTTGTGTGTTAATACTGTAAGTGTGCTGTGTATATCCGTACTTTTGTGTGTGTTGTATATGCTGAATAAATGTATGCTGAATGTATTGTATTGTGTATAATACTGTATGTGCACTGTATTGCATTGTATGTACTGTGTATATAATATGTGTACTGTATTGTATTGTATTGTATGTACCGTCTATAATATGTGTACTGTATTGTATTGTATGATGTGCCGTGTATAATATGTGTACTGTGTGTATTGTAGGTATCATGTATAATATAAGTACTGTGTGTATTTTGTTTGTACTGTGTATAATATGTGTACTGTGGGTACTGTATGTATGTGGATTGTGTTCTATGTGTGCTGTGTATAATACTGTAAGCATACTGTATGTAATGTATGTACTGTGTGTGTTGTGTATGCTCTGTATAATGTGTGCTGTATGTATTCTATGTATTGTGTATAATATGTGTGCTGTATTGTATTGTATGTACTGTGTATAATATGTGCACTGTGTGTATTGTATGTATCGTGTATAATATGTGTACTGTGTGTATTTTATTGTATGTACTGTGTATAATATGTGTATTTTGTTGTATGTACTGTGTATAATATGTGTACTGTGTGTATTGTATGTATGTGGACTGTGTATTGCATATTCTGTGTGTGCTGTGTGTAATACTGTAAGTGTACTGTGTGTAATGTAGGTACATGTTTGTGTTGTGTATGCTGTGTATAATGCGTGCTGTATGTATTGTATGTATTGTGTATAATACTGTGTACTGCATGTATTGGATGTACTGTGTGTATACTGTATGTGCTGTGCATAAGACTGTGTGTATATTGTATGTACTGTGTGTTTCTGTACCACTGCTCTATACTTTCCTCCCACACAATACGTAATAGAGATAATTATGTGGAATGGAGGAGATGTTTCCATACTCTCATGGAGGAGCTCTCTGATATAATAAAGTACAATGACTCATCCAGAATCTATAATACATATACAAGGGATGCAACATATTCATTCTCATCTTCTCCTTATATTGCAGTTTCTAAAATTCCTATCAATATGAATTATTCATCTATCATTTGTCATCAACACGTAGCATGTGGCAATGTGATGGGATTCGGATAATTGAGTGCAAATCGTGTCTTATGCTCTAACACAATACAATTTTTTTGATAGTAATATTGCTGATATTTTCTGTATAGTATTATGTATAAATGAAGTATAGGGAAACAAATGTACAAGAACAAAAAAAAAATGCTTTGTTTTAAAATAAAGTTTATACGATTTAGCAAAACATTGGCGAACTCTGTGTATCTAGAAAATGATTATTAGTCATAATAACATTAATAATAATACAAATAATAGCAACCCCATCAAAGACAATAATAATAGAAATAAAAATAATAAAAACAACAACAACAACAACCACATCAAAGCTAATGGTAATAATAATAATAACAACAATAATAATTTTTATTATTATTATTGCTAATGTTGTTGATATTAGAGATCACAGATTATTATTATTGATTTTATAATTTTTATTGATAATATTGTTGATTTTAGATATCACAAATTATTATTATAAAATCCATCCAAAACCATATTAATAATAGCAATACTACTGCTAACTACAATTATTATTATTAGTATTGGAACTAGATGTATTATTTTTTATTTCTACTACTGCTGTTGCTATATACGAGTCGTAGTAGTAGTAAATGACTGGAACCATTTGCTGTCTTCCTCTGTATATCTCCTGCACTGACAGTGGCCCTGTTTATTATAGTCTACCCCCCCCCCCCCCCCGTTACATTGTTGCCCCCTCCAGGTAGCACCCTATAATCCTAACTGCAATATGAGGACATTATGGAAGGGGGATGTTTTGGATGCGGGAGAGGCTGTTCTGGGACAGTCCACAAGTGTCATCTATAGGGAAATCTGACAGTGATGCTGTGCCTTGTAGTCCCACACACACACAAAGCATTGGGGGGTTTTGCAAGTTAAAGACACAATCATATTGACAGCTGAAGGCTTATTCTGTAAACTGACATTTGCAACATTGAATCAAGCTTCCTTTGCACAGATCATTCAGATATGGATTCTGATTGGTTGCTGTGGATCATTCTATTTTATAAATAAGTCCTGTAATGTGACCTAATATATGGATGTTCAGGGTGTGCTCTCATCTCGCAGTCCAGCCTGTTGCCAATGACTGCAGTAGTGCAATTATAGCTGACACAGCAGAGGGCTGGCCACTATTTATTTATTTATATTCCAGCAAACACACATATTGACTAGTGGACACACATATTGACTAGTGGTATGTGATACCAATAAATATATATATATATATATTATATTATATATATATATGTGTGTGTGTGTGTGTGTTGTAATTCCTATCAGAATTAGAATCAATCATGACGATATACTTATACTCCACATACATATATATGCTGATTAGGAATTCATGTCAGATGCTAAACTTTATTATGATTACTGTATATATATATATATATACATACACATACTGTCTGTGTGCGGATTGTAAATCATATCAGATGTCAAACTCTCTTATATGTACAGTATATATGTGTTGAATTGCAATTCATATCAGATGGTAAACGTTACAATGACTATATATATACATTGACTATCTATACTGTATTGTGTGTTGAATGGCAATGTATACCACATATTAAACTAGTTCGTGAGTGTGTTAAATTCTATCAGATGTTATACTATATCATAGTTATATACAAAACGGTTATGTACAAAACAGATGGCTGGATGGTCATTGCATAGTGTTGAGGTTGATTGCATGGTCATTGCATAGAATGGTGGAGATTGGATGGTCATTGCATAGTATGGTGGAGATTGGATGGTCATTGCATAGTATGGTGGAGATTGTGTGGTCATTGCATAGAATGGTGGAGATTGCGTGGTCATTGCATAGAATGGTGGAGATTGGATGGTCATTGCATAGTATGGTGGAGATTGTGTGGTCATTGCATAGTATGGTGGAGATTGTGTGGTCATTGCATAGCGTGGTGGAGAGATTGTATGGTCATTACATAGTGTGGTGGTGATTGCATAGTGTGGTGGAGATTGTGTGTGATCATTGCATAGTGTTTTGGTGATTGGATGGTCGTTGCATAGTATGGTGGAGATTGTATGGTCATTGCATAGTGTGGTGGTGATTGCATAGTGTGGTGGAGATTGGGTGGTCATTGCATAGTGTGGTGGAGATTGGATGGTCGTTGCACAGTGTGGTGGAGATTGGATGGTCGTTGCACAGTGTGGAGGAGATTGTGTGGTCGTTGCACAGTGTGGAGGAGATTGTGTGGTCGTTGCACAGTGTGGAGGAGATTGTGTGGTCGTTGCACAGTGTGGTGGAGATTGGGTGGTCCTTGCACAGTATGGAGGAGATTGTGTGGTCGTTGCATAGTGAGGTGGAGATTGTGTGGTCGTTGCATAGTATGGAGATTGAGATTGTGTGGTGGTTGGATGGCGTTGCATAGTGTGGTGGAGATTGGATGGTCGTTGCATAGTGTGGTGGAGATTGGATGGCATAGTTGCATATTGTGTGGTGGAGATTGGATGGTCGTTCGTATGCATAGTGTGGTGGAGATTGGATGGTCGTTGCATAGTGTTGTGATAGGGTGGTCGTTGCATAGTGGGTGGAGATTGGATGGTCAGATAGTGGATGGTCGTTGCATAGTGTGGTGGATATTGTGTGGTCGTTGCATAGTGTGGTGGATATTGTGTGGTCGTTGCATATTGTGGTGGAGATTGGGTGGTCGTTGCATAGTGTGGATTGGATGGTCGTTGCATAGTGTGGTGGATATTGTGTGGGTCGTTGCATAGTGTGGTGGAGATTGGGATGGTCATTGCATAGTGTGGTGGATATTGTGGTGGTCGTTGCATAGTGTGGTGGAGATTGTGTGGTCGTTGCATAGTGTGGTGGAGATTGTGTGGTCATTGCATAGTGTGTGTGGAGATTGTGTGGTCATTGCATAGTGTGGTGGAGATTGTGTGGTCATTGCATAGTGTGGAGGAGATTGGTGGTCGTTGCATAGTGTGGTGGATATTGTGTGGTCGTTGCATAGTGTGGTGGAGATTGTGTGGTCATTGCATAGTGTGGTGGATTTGTGTGGCCGTTGCATAGTGTGGTGGAGATTGGATGGTCGTTGCATAGTGTGGTGATTGGGTGGTCGTTGCATAGTGTGGTGGAGATTGTGTGGTCATTGCATAGTGTGGTGGAGATTGTGTGGTCGCTGCATAGTGTGGTGGAGATTGTGTGGTCGTTGCATAGTGTGGTGATTGGATGGTCATTGCATAGTGTGGTGATTGGATGGTCGTTGCATAGTGTGGTGGAGATTGTGTGGTCGTGTGGTGGAGCGTTGCATAGTGTGGTGGAGATTGTGTGGTCGTTGCATAGTGTGGTGGAGATTGTGTGGTCGTTGCATAGTGTGGTGGATTGGTGTGGTCATTGCATAGTGTGGTGATAGTGTGGTGGATTGGTCGTCGTTGCATAGTGTGGTGGAGATTGTGTGGTCGCTTGCATAGTGTGGTGGAGATTGGATGGTCGTTGCATAGTGTGGTGATTGGTGGATGGTCATTGCATAGTGTGGTGATTGGATGGTCGTTGCATAGTGTGGTGATTGGATGGTCGTTGCATAGTGTGGTGATTGGATGGTCGTTGCATAGTGTGGTGGAGATTGGATGGTCGTTGCATAGTGTGGTGGAGATTGGATGGTCGTTGCATAGTGTGGTGGTTGGTGTGATCCCTCCTTGGCACATGTCTGATGGGATTTCTTCTTCTGCCCCCCCAGGTAGGATTTCGGTGGGAGGTGACAGCTGTGCTATGATTGTGCCCTGAGGATGATGGAGAGGTTGGGGACAGCAGAGATGGGAGACGCTCCGGATGTCAGCTCACCCCCCCGACAGGCAGAGGCGGAGAGCACGCGTGGAGTGGAGCAGAGTGGGGTGAAGGAGGGGGCGGCCCCCAGTTCCCCCCCTCATGCTGTGCCGGTGATTGAGCTGCTCAGGAGGGGGGAGGGATCGGGGAATATAAAGGCCAGGGAGCAGGAGCTGAGACTGCAGAGCTTGAGTACCAGCGAAGGGTGCAGAGCCCCTCCATCCACTGAGATCTGCAGAGCCCCTCCATCCACTGAGATCTGCAGAGCCCCTCCAGCCACTGAGATCTGCAGAGCCCCTCCAGCCACTGAGATCTGCAGAGCCCCAGTGACCCCCTCGACAGATCTGAGCAGAGCCCCATTGACCCCCACAACTGAGCTGTGCAGAGCACCATTGACCCCCACCACTGAGCTGTGCAGAGCCCCTCTGACCCCCTCAACAGAGATCTGCAGAGCTCAGCTCACCCCAACTACTGAGCTTTGTAGACCCCCCTTGAACCCATCTACAGAACTCTGCAGACCCCCACAGACCCCAACCACAGAGCTGTGCAGAGCCCCCCTGACTCCAACCACTGAACTTTGCAGGACCCCTCTACCCCCAACCACAGAGCTCTGCAGACCCCCCATCCCTCTGCCTGTCTCTGGACCTCAAGCTGAGCAAGCTGCGGAAGCCCGAATGGTCCAGCTGAGCCCCCCAGAATCCCTCCCCATCCAGGCGGCGGGCAGAACCATGCTGTATGGACTGAGCCAGCCTCTAACCCCCGGGAACAGGTAGGCGATTCTTATATTGTGCTGTAATTTTAGAGTTATCAGAGTTCTGCTGTGTTGCTGCCTTGACCACTTGAATGATGCACATGTCATCCACCCCCCATTGCCCATCCCACCCAATGCTGACCATACACTATACAATCTGATTGTATAATCTCCATAATATGAGGACAAACCTAAACAATACATTTAATTTGTATCCAGTAAGGCATGTCCTTGCACTACATAGCTTTTTCAACCTGTAGCTTTCTAATGCCTATGGAACCACAAGTTTTTGTGTGCCTTGCCAGTTGGGATCTGTAATGCCATAAAAGTATACATGTCTATCCTGCCAATAATCATACTTCTTCTACACCTTACCTAAAATGCATTACCTTGCTGCTTGGTGGCTTACCAGCATCATTAGCTTAGCATTGCACAATCATCAATGATACTTCTAGCAGCTTAGACATAGACAGATGCCTTAACACCCATCGTTCTTGGTGAGACATTCTTGATGGCATCAGTGCACCTCTAAGCCCTGCCACCAAATTCTTAGAGGATGGGTAAATGCACACGCTGTCATAGTTTTCTTCCCCTTTCTCCATAGGGGAGGTAACAATTGTCATTCTCTTGCAGAGATTTGCCTGCAAGTTGTGAAACCACTGTGTGCAATAATGGGCAATTTCAACACTTGGAAGGTCTTGTTATCTCCTTCCAGGAGATCCTAATCCTGATCGCTACAAGAAAAGCTAAAATATATTGTAACATTTGTAAAGATGCATGTGTGGTTTTTGTGCACATTTCACGGTGCAGAAAATTTCACAATTTAAAAAAATGTTTTAGAGTGCAAAATATTTCCACCAAACATCTATGTAACCTACCTGGCTCATTTTAAAGTGCAGAGCATCTCATGTTTGCTAGGTAGACCATTGTTTCACTTGGAAAATTCCATGTAGCAGTGCTAACATTAGAATAGGCACAAGAGCAACTAAAAATAGAGGTTCTGCCCAAAAGCACCAAACCAGATTTCACGTCTCATTTTAAATAGATTGTGAAATGAAAGCTGAAACCTGATTGATTGTTATAGAAAAAATGTCAATTTACTGGAAAGAACAACTATTTCAGGAACTTGTTCTTGGTTGTGAGAAGGAAGACCATAAGGCATAAGTGACAATGCAGTAAAGAAGTATTATGCTGATATTCTGTGGTAGTTCAATCCTTGGACTTGATGTTTGAATTGTTCAACCTTGACCAATTTTAGGATGTGTATGGCAGTTCCAAATATACTCATGAGGGTCATGTTCACCATCAGATTTGGCCAGGTTGGGTATTGGTGTCCACAGTAGGTCTATGAGAGCCAACAAACACCCACATCCATTACTTTTTTCAGGAGAACAATAGATTGGCCAACATTCACCATTGTTGTTCCCACCAGCATTCCGAAGTCTACCTATTGCGTGAACATTCAGGCTTGGTTGTGTTAAATTAACTATTTAATGGAGCGAAACAAGCTGGATCATGCCCCCCTCTGACCACTATTAACAGTAGTCTTTATTCTGCCACAAAATATCACAATAGATCCTAGACTGCACTGTCTGGCACTGCTGAGCAATGCAGTATCATTGGTCTAAAGGCAGATCATACCATCCAGTGTCCACCTCAATGTCGAATGCTTCTTCATGCAGTGACTTTGACTGGTGGTCATTTTGCAGACAACATTAGACCATAATTTTTAGTTCTGCCCCAGAAGATCTGGCCCCCAGGACAAGATCTTGAGATCTTTTATACATCTGGCTATGGACAAGAAGGGTTAGATACCGATGATTCTGCCATTTACTTGACCATGGTAAGGACAATGAAAACAGATGTATGATGACTGTAAAAATAGATGTGCCTATTGTGCTATCACATTTTGTCCCAGTCATTATCGTCTCATTAATGATCCAAGGGTGGTTGACCAACATATAAAACATGGTTTATTTTTAAGAAACCACAAATGGCTGTGCAGGAAAAATCAGACCATAGAACATATTCTGTTCTATTCATAGCAAGTGATTTAGTCATAGAATAGTGGCGTACAACATCGAGCGTTTTCCAGGTGGTAGACTGCGATCATCTTCACATCATATGTTGATTGTTGTACCTGGATGTATATTTTGTGCAATCATTTCTCTTTGTGCCTTAAGAGAAGACTGGTGGTTTTTAGCTGTTTGTGGACATCTTAACATAAGGGGGTTCATACATTTAGTACCTGTGGAAAAGCCAAAAAATAAACTAATGCTTAGTACCCAAGAATTTTCCATGTTTCATGTAAATATAAAAGCTGACTGGTTGCAATCATAAAGCACTAGAGTTTTCCTTGTACTTGTAAGGATAATGTAAACATCAATGTAAATGGCTAACAACTCTTTGTTTAGAACCCACCAAGCATTTTTCACCGTGTAGCGCCATCTTTGTGGGTAAGGGGCTTTGAAGAGACAACGGTGATTGTGATGGGTTTGTTTAACATCTTTGATATCTTTCTCAAGAGTGATTGGCCAGGGTGGCATCTGCCTGCCCCTATAGACATGAAATTGTCTTTGGAGTTAGCCAGAAGCAAGCACAATGGGTGCATCCATGTGTCCTGACTACTTTAGACTTGCATTCCATGATGTCATGGGACCCAGACTTCTAATGTAAAGGGAATCTCACTGTGTACATCTATAATGTACATGGATGTGAGATGGTGCAGTAGTGGACTGGTAGTCTATGGATAGCTCAATGCTTTGCTATTTTTCTTTCTAATGCAGTATATTTGATGCTTTACACCAAGGGTCTCCAAACTTTCTAAACAAAGGGCCAGTTTCTTGTCCTTCAGACTTTAGAGGGGCCAGACTGGCCATTGGGAGTAGAAATAGTCCTGGCATCAATGGAAGTAACAGTGCATTTTTGGCACTAGGGGGAGGAATGGTGCCCCACCATTGGTGTCATTAGGAGGAATAGTGGCCTACCATTGGTGTCAGTGGGAGGATTAGTGCCCTGTCAATGGTAGAATTAGTGCTCTGTTTTTGATGTCAATAACAGGAATTATGCCCCATTGTTCGTGTCAGTGGGAGGAAAAGTGTTCCAAGGGCCAGATAAAGGCAAGGGGCCGCATCTGGCCCCCGGCCACAGTTTGAAGATCACTGCTCTACAGCTTCTACAGATATTTACAGAAGGGCCAGTTCTCCCAAAAACTTTTATTTAAAGCATATTTGAACTCAAGAATAAATTGTAATATAATACAACTTACCAATTGTTAGATATGGTAACTGCATTGTTTTTCTTTTTTCTTACCATATTTTGCATTATTTTTACCTGGTGACCCTATCAGCAATTAGCAATGAGCTTGGGTTCAGTTCAAACTTTGGTTTGGCCAAACCTGGATGTCAATAGTCAATGATGTCATATGCATGTACATTCAGCTGTGGGAAGTGGGATGTCCTAGACACAGCTCATCAACCTAGGAATGACAGCTGCTTCTGGGTTCTGCCGACCATAGGTTCAATCCAAAACCCAGAGCCAAACCCAAGTCATCTCTATCAGTAACACACTTCCTGTTCTAGGGTGGCACTGCTCACCCAATGTTCTGTATCTATGGAGGATCAGCATTGTTACCCTACGGTGCTCACTCGTGATCTGGACTGCAGAACACCCCCCTTCTCATCTGGGGCAGGGCTGGTACCACTGCATGAGACTTCAGTGCAGCAGAGGCACAGGATGTTAGATGCTCATTGGATTTCTGGCAGGATCAACAGGTATTTTTTGCACTTATCTAATAGATATAACATAATCGTTTCAATGGTATAATAGACAGACCAAAGAGAAGCAAATGCGAGAGGTTCATTGTTAGGGTGTCCATTTACATATGTGTAAATGCTGAGAATTAAATGTTTTGAGGCCTCTGTAGCCTCACTTCTGGATCAGCATTCTCCTTAGTAATGGTTAGCACTTCCGTCTGGCTAGTACTAGGGTCGTTGGTTCTAATCCCAACCACGGCACCACCTGCCTGGAGTTTGCATGTTCTCCCTGTGCCTGTTTAGGTTTCCTCTGGGTACTCCGGTTTCCTACCACACTCCAAAGACATGCTGGTAGGCTCATTGGCTCCTGTCTAAATTGCCCCCAGTATGTGTATGTATGAATGTGAGTTAGGGACCTTAGATTGTACGCCCCTTGAGGGTTAGGGACTGATGTGAATGTACAATATATATGTAAAGCACTGTGTAAATTGACGATGCTTTATAAGTACCTGAAATAAATAAAATTGACCAGGGATAATGGGAACCTCATTATAGTTGCTGTGGATGTGAATACTTAGTAATTTAGATAAGAAAATCTTGTTGCCGGAACTCTATAAAAAATATGAGAATCTAGTTGGAATTCCATCTTATCAGCAATCACACCAAGGAGAAAAATTCATTTTGGGTGGACTGACCCATTAATAGACTCGTTGGTACATTCTGTCTACTCTAGGTATTGCTCTGATGCATCAATCTCATTAAGATTCAGCTTATTTCTCTACACATTAAAATAGCTACAGCTTATCCGACTGATGTTGATGAACACTTAAATCATTTTTTTTACATAATTTACCAGGAAGCAGTAGTTTACCAACATTACGATATGATAGAGAAGCTTTCGAGCCTGTTATGTAACACTGTTAGTGAAAATATCAGATTGAATGATCATCTTGTCATGTGTGAGATCAGCCGAAAGTAGTAATGTCATAGTTGTAGAGTAAAAAAATATGTCTACATGTCATGTGATATAAATACTAGGCAAAAATCACATGATGCCATGAGTATTGTGAGTTTTATGGCATTAGAGACTGCAGCCTGTTATCTTTGGTGAGACAGAAACTGTCTGCCTGTAGACCTGGCGTGAGATAACAGCACAGCTTTTTTTTTTTTTTAGCAGGAACACAGGTCCAGTACCTCCAGCACTGAATGTATTTATTTATGGCATTTCTATAGCGCTGTAAATTTACACAGTGCTTTACACATATAT